CTTTATCCAAAGCTGGAGAAAGCATACCCGCCGAGCTCTCCGTCGGCGGCCTCGAGGGCGCCGTCGACGGACTTCTGAAAATTTTTTTCCTGTAGCCTCGGGAAAAACTCGCCGCCAGCAGGGTCGAGGGCGTCGTCGGCGGCCTAGTTCAAATCTCCACATTTTGGTCCTTTTCGCTCCAAATTCGCTCATTTTTGCATCTTTTTGCTCCAATGACCCTGATTCATCATTCCTGCAATAAAACATCAAAATTACCATTCTATAAAATGCAATATTATTAAAAACAGTATAAAATAGGTATGAAAATCTCAACATATTTTCCTTGGGTCAAAAACCCAGGTTAATCCTAAAATCAATTAACTTAGAAAACCTTAAGGTCACTCCCTACTGAAGACATTAAGAGGGTCAAGTTCATGAAGTCCCCTCCATGAACCACCCTTGAGTTAAACGTAGCTTCAAATTCAACTTAGGTCTAACCCATATTAGACCTAACCCAACTCAATTCAAATTTAAATCCAACCTAAGTTTGACCCCACATAGACCTAGCTCGACCTATGCAATTTTAAACCGAACATAGGTCTAACCTAAAATTGTACCTAACATAAGGAAATTTAATTTGGGTCCAACCAGACCTAGACCCAATTTAAAATCCAATATTAAACTTGAAGTAGATCTAGCCCAAACATAGACCTAAACTCAATCTAGGTCTAAACAAATTAGGTCAAACTCAACTAAAATCTCAATTTCAACATTGGTCCAAACCAACCTAAACCTAGTTCAGTTCAACTCAAACACCAAACATGAGTTTGGTCTAACCCAACCTAGACCAAGCATAATCTGAACTTTAAATTTAACTTGAGTTAAGTCCAAACTAACCTGTGCATGAACTAATGTAACTCAAGCCTATCTTAGGTTTAACATAACTTATACCTAACCAAATTTAGATTTGGTTCATGTCCAGCCCAACCTAGACCTAACTTAACCAAACCTCAAGTTCAGTCTAGATCTAAACCAATACAAGACCTGAGCCTAAAGAAAACCTCACTCAAGTCTAACCCAAATTAGGATCAAGTTAACCAAACCCTAAAACTACAACCTACCTCAAGCCTAACACAACTAAGACTTGATTTAGCTAAACCCTAAGTTGAGCCTAATCTAACCTAAACTTGAACCGACCCAGTTCAACATAAAACAAACTTAGGTCAAACCAAATCAGCTTGAACTAAACCTAGGTTAACCTGAACAAACTCTGGTCAACTCAATTTGACTTGAACTAAACCTAAGTTATCCCGAACTAACTCAAATTAACTCAAATCAACCTGAACCAAACCTGGGCCAACCCAAACTAACCCAGGTTAACCCAAATCAACTTTAGCAAACCTCAGGTCAACTCGAGGTCAACCTTACCTAATTCAGATTAACCCAAACCAACTCAAACCAAACCTCAGGTCAACCCAACCTAACTCGGGTTATCCCAAACCAACTCAAATTGAACTCGGGTCAACTTGACCTAACTCGGGTAAACCTAAACCAACTTAAACTCAACTTCGGTCAACCTGAACATAACTCGGGTTAACCTAAACCAATTTAAATTTAAGTAAGAAACGTAAGTTAAGGAGTGTTTAACTTCTCATGAGAGAATAAAATTACACTTAACACATCCTCAAGACAACATGGGTTGAAATGGAAAATAAACTTAAAAGACAAAACATAAAATTCACCCTAAAATCACTAAAACTTAGACTTCAATCATAAAATGTAACCTGGTTTGAGAAGAAATTTTGGGGAAGGCAACACATTTCTGCTAAAAAAATACCTTATGGTCACTTGTGACTAACCAAACCTCAAACTCAATGACCCCGGGGGGACGGAACCATGAGATCCTGACCAGGTCATTTCAAATCAAAATGAAAATGAAAATCATAAAGAAAAAAAGTAAAAAAATCTTAATCGGCTAAGAAGTCATAAGCAACCTAAAATTTTCAACTCCTAAAATCTGAAAAAGATATTAAAATTTAAAAGAAACCTTAATGAATAAAGATCACCTAATGAAACTTTAACTCTGCCACCCAGGCCTACAAACATCTCTTAGATGAAGTAACTCATGGATTCTGGAAGGAATCTTCTAGGCAGAGTTTGTTTGACCGGCACTCTAGACTAAGTAGATCAAGGAAAAGCGACAACCCTGGGACGACAAAAAACCATCGGCATCTTGACCGAGTTGTCCTAAATAAAATAAATTACTACCAATTAAACATATTTATGCTAATTTTGTTTTGTAGGATTGTTGAAGACAAAAAATAGAAAGCCGACTTAAATTTACATTACATGTTTTAGGGTGTGCTAACTCTGTTGTGTAGGTATGAAAAATCAAATGATTCCTTAGATTTATTTTACATGTTATCTAGGGTGTGCTAACTTTGTTTTGCAACACTGACATAAATGTTGCAGCAACCTAGTACTTTTTTCTTCAAGCCTCCTTTTCTTTTGTAGAGTTAGGAAGCGTTATGGTCAACTGGCTATAAGCATCTGAACTGTCCAAAAGAGGATGAAATACGAAGCAAGGATGAACCTTAACTAAACCTTAAATGGTAGCTCAGATGATGTCGGTTGATGAGTTTTATGTAAGTTAAGATTGGCACCTACACGTGTCAGTTTGTCTAGGATCATTCAATAAGTCTACCCCAAATTATATGTTGATATCTATATTTTTATATTTTGTCTGGATTACCGATAAACTCACCTATGGACTAAATTTTCTACCCCAACCTAAATAGCTCTAATTTAACTTTTTGAAATGGAGCTAACAACTAAAACTACAAAAAAATTCATTGCATTCACAACCCTAAAAATAGCTTGCATCCAAATAACCTCAATTGACATCAAAAGAAAATTGAGTAGAAACCTCTTCCGAGATGGTTTGACATGTGGGAATCACTCCCTTATAGAATGAGTTCTGCTAATGCATATTGAATGACCTTTTTTAACATACTTTCTTTGCATTCATCATCAAGGATTTGTGTAGCCCACTTCAAAGCTTGCTCTGATGCACTCAACACCAACCAAAGCTCAACATTTGAGTGTAGTGAGGCATAAAACGTTTAAATTTGAGATCTCAAAAATATCTTCGCAATAGTCTGATGACATTGTGCATGTCACACCTATCTGGGCAGCTTGATTTACAAGCAAGTAATTAGGCCTATCAAGACTAGCCACGCTCATCAATCGTCGTTCTGAGGGACAAAATCCTTCGGTAGGCCCTTACGGCCGTTCATTCCATATTTCATTCATCAGCATCAGATTTGTCAGTCGTTATAGCTATGATTAACCGGTCACACGTTCTAAGCCGTCCATTTGCTTTAAGATTATAGTTAAGATTTACATATCATGTCTAAATATTAGACATGCAAATAATAAAATTTTAAGTGGTACGTATGTAAAAATCTTAAACTAATTAGATTAATTTTCACATCCTTAAAAAGAATGAGACGCCCATTTCGGAAGGGAAGCGTATGGATGCAAATTTTCCATTTCCCCAAAACCTATACTTAAATGCTAAGCTTTCTCTGTGACACGATAAATAAAAGAAGATACACTCCGAAAGCAGAATCAATGGGCCTCGTTCGCGACCGATTAAAGTTCTCCTTCCGCCGCTCCTCATCCCAATCGCCACCACCGCCGCCGTTCACCACCATCAAATCGACGGATCCGCCGCCGGAGTTCCTCTGCCCCATCTCCGGCGCTCTCATGGCCGATCCCGTCATCATACCTTCCGGCGAGACTTTCGAGCGAGCTTGCATCGAAGCTTGCAGAGAACTTTCCATCTCCCCTAACTCTCTCTCCCTCGACCTGTCTTCTTCTTCTTCTTCCTTACTGCTCATCCCCAACTCGGCCCTCCGCTCAGCCATCCTCCGGTGGTGTGACATCGCCGGCGTCCCCCATCCCATCCCTTTATCTTCTGAATTGGCCAGACGGCTTGTCTCATCCACCAGTTCCAAGCTGCAGACAAACTGTTCGACCGAATTCCTCAATCAAAACAGTTCTCCCATCACTTTTTCGTCTCCTTCTTCCTCCTCCTCTGACAACACCTCTTCATCTTCCTCCACCGAAATTGTTGCCCCGAAACCAGAAACCCCCGAGACTCCTCTCCACGCCGATTCGTTCGAAGAGGAGATCTTCGCGAAGCTGAAGCATGCCCAAATCCAGGAACAGGAGAACGCACTGATCTCACTCCTCGAAGCTACGAGAGAGTCCTCTTCTCGGCGCGTCTCCCTAGGTACTCCTCGTCTGCTCGCTCAGCTCCGAGTCCTCCTACTTTCCCGCGACCGCGCTGTCAAATCGAACACCCTCGCTATCATCGTCAACCTCTCTATCGAGCCGGAAAACAAGATCCGCGTCGTGCGCTCCGGCGTAGTGCCGGCCATAGTTGACGCGCTCCAATCTTCTTCAAGAGAGCATGCCGCAGGGGCTTTGTTCAGCCTGGCCATGGAGGAACAGAATAGGAGTGCGATTGGTGTTCTCGGAGCAGTTCCCCCTCTGCTCCACCTCTTCTGCAATTCTAAGGGGGATTTGCGAGCTAGATTGGAGGCGGGAATGGCGATTCATTATTTAGGTTTGGCGGAGATGAACATGGCGAAGATCGGGAGGATTCCAGGGGCGGTGAAGTCGTTGATGGTGGTGGCGAAGGGGGAGGAGAGGGAGTTGAGAAGGGTGGCGATGAGAGTGATGGTGGGAATGGCGTGGAATAAGGAAGGGAAGGCGGCGATGTTGGATGGAGGAGCGGTGGAGGGGGTGGTGGGGTTGTTGAGGAAGGAGGAGGTGGAGGAGGAGGATAGGGAGATGGTGGTGAGGATGTTGTATGGGATGAGTATGGCTGGGTTGAGATTTAGAGGAATAGCGAGGAGGGCGGGGGTGGAGGAGTTGTTGCAGAGAGTGCGGGAGGGTTTGGAAGGGGATAAGAGGGAGATGGTGAGGGTGACGATTAGGGTTATAAGGGGAGAGGAGGGGGAGAGGGAGAGAGATTTGGGGAGGGTTTTGTGGGCGGAGGAGGAGGAGGAGGGGGAGGAGGTGGCGGTGGAGGAGAGAAGTCCGGTGCATCGCCGGAGGATGAACCGGGAATCCGGTCCGAATTCGGCCGGGTTCTGAGTTCTGGTTTTTCTCTGTCGGTTTCTGTAATTTTGTTAATGTTATTTTATTTTTAATTAGTTGATGTTAAAAAATAGATAGGGTCTTTTCGAATTTCTGGGATTTTTTTTTTTTTTTGAACAAATATTACATCCGGACTCACTCTGGATGTAGAGATAAGTTTGAAGTCAGATGAAATCATGTCACGTATTATTTTTCATTATTTAAATATTATTGTGGTGGTATTTATGTGTTATTATGTTCTGAGAATATTCTCGGTATTATAATGACATAATAACACATTAATACAACCACAATAACATCTGAATAACGCGGAATAACACAGAAAGAATATTCTCCTGTGTTACCGGGCTAGATCACAGGAAGGCGCTTACATTTCTCTGAAGTCATATGTCTACGTATTAATGAACTCCGAACTATTTCTACGTTTATAAAAATAGTTTTCCTTTTTTTAGCAGGTAAAAAAGTTTGGATGCAAATCCTTATAAGAAAAAAATCTGATTTGACGCTCAAGTTGCTGAAAACTAGTGCTCAAATTATTCGAAAAAGAAAAGTTTAGTGCCATTAAAAGTGTTTTTCGTTAAACATAATTATTTTGAAAAAATAAAAAAATTATATGTTTTTTAAAAAATATTATGATAAAGATGATAAATAAGTTTATGTGGTCTCGTTCCTTCTTCTAGGATTTGGATAGTTTTGCAAAGAATATTGTAATTAATTGTTTATAAAATTAGTATTTAGGTTGTTTTGTTTAACTATTTATCTCGTAAATTTCTGCCAGAATCAATCAGTTGGGAATTGGATCCATAAAACAATTTTTTATTTATTAATATATCAAATAGGTAAATTTTTAACTAATCTTTTATGCCACATCAAAATAATTATTATTTAAAATCATAATTTAGGTGTTAAATATATAAATAAATAAAAAATTAGGTGGGATGCATATATGCAAATTTTTCAAATAAAAAAAAATCCTAGTTACACTTTTATTGTGAATTGATTATTTAAGTGAAATTTTAAATAATAGAGGTATGTTAATGATAATTTGTGAATATGATGAAAGTTTTGGATTTTTTATTGATAAATTGTCGAACTACCTTGTCTATTAATTTGTCATCCTAGCATTTATAATTCCTTTAATATCACCTAATTTAGTGCTTCTATATTTACTAATATATCATGTATGTTCATATTCATCTTGGGTTGGTTGATCATGCTAATTATTATGTTTAAATCAAGTTTGATCACACAATATTTTATATCTAGCTTAACTCATCAAGTCTAGGAATCACTTAAGGCAACGAGTTATAACTACCTTAGTTGTGAAAGATTAAGGGTAAACAATTCATCTAGATCATTAAGTCTTACATAAATCTCATATCTATAATTCATTGCATTTATTAAGAGGCTCTAAAAGTTGAGTTTTGGTGAGGTGACTCATCCTCGATGTTTCATCTATTTTATCTAGCATAATGTGTTATGTTATAAAGTCAAACAATGCCAACAATGTGGCTGATTTGAATTCATCATTTTACATAGTATAATTATTATTGACGTTGTGAAGTGTTGATTGGTTGCCACTATGTTTAAGGAGGCACCACTTTGGTGATTCTCGCGCCTCCCATTGGGCAGTATTACCTCATTTGTCTAGTTCAAGCATTAATTTATTACTTCTATGTTAGTGTATAAAAATGCAAAAAAATGCTTCAAAATCTTTTGAATACGACATAAGAGCCTAAGAAGTCACTCCACTAGATTGTGACTTGATTACAATAAAATCTGGTGGATATTAAATATTTGGAACTTGTTGTTGTTCATGTTGTTCTTATTCAAGACCTTCTAGAAAATTAAACTCCGACATGGAAAAACTTTGATTAAGTTGCTTAAGCATTCATCATTCTTTATTTTTTTATTTTTTTCTATTTTTTTAAAAGTTTCATCATTCTTTATTTAGAAAGAGGATCTATTCAATTCGTTGATGGTGGTGGCGAAGGGGGAGGAGAGGGAGTTGAGAAGGGTGGCGATGAGAGTGATGGTGGGAATGGCGTGGAATAAGGAAGGGAAGGCGGCGATGTTGGATGGAGGAGCGGTGGAGGGGGTGGTGGGGTTGTTGAGGAAGGAGGAGGTGGAGGAGGAGGATAGGGAGATGGTGGTGAGGATGTTGTATGGGATGAGTATGGCTGGGTTGAGATTTAGAGGAATAGCGAGGAGGGCGGGGGTGGAGGAGTTGTTGCAGAGAGTGCGGGAGGGTTTGGAAGGGGATAAGAGGGAGATGGTGAGGGTGACGATTAGGGTTATAAGGGGAGAGGAGGGGGAGAGGGAGAGAGATTTGGGGAGGGTTTTGTGGGCGGAGGAGGAGGAGGAGGGGGAGGAGGTGGCGGTGGAGGAGAGAAGTCCGGTGCATCGCCGGAGGATGAACCGGGAATCCGGTCCGAATTCGGCCGGGTTCTGAGTTCTGGTTTTTCTCTGTCGGTTTCTGTAATTTTGTTAATGTTATTTTATTTTTAATTAGTTGATGTTAAAAAATAGATAGGGTCTTTTCGAATTTCTGGGATTTTTTTTTTTTTTTGAACAAATATTACATCCGGACTCACTCTGGATGTAGAGATAAGTTTGAAGTCAGATGAAATCATGTCACGTATTATTTTTCATTATTTAAATATTATTGTGGTGGTATTTATGTGTTATTATGTTCTGAGAATATTCTCGGTATTATAATGACATAATAACACATTAATACAACCACAATAACATCTGAATAACGCGGAATAACACAGAAAGAATATTCTCCTGTGTTACCGGGCTAGATCACAGGAAGGCGCTTACATTTCTCTGAAGTCATATGTCTACGTATTAATGAACTCCGAACTATTTCTACGTTTATAAAAATAGTTTTCCTTTTTTTAGCAGGTAAAAAAGTTTGGATGCAAATCCTTATAAGAAAAAAATCTGATTTGACGCTCAAGTTGCTGAAAACTAGTGCTCAAATTATTCGAAAAAGAAAAGTTTAGTGCCATTAAAAGTGTTTTTCGTTAAACATAATTATTTTGAAAAAATAAAAAAATTATATGTTTTTTAAAAAATATTATGATAAAGATGATAAATAAGTTTATGTGGTCTCGTTCCTTCTTCTAGGATTTGGATAGTTTTGCAAAGAATATTGTAATTAATTGTTTATAAAATTAGTATTTAGGTTGTTTTGTTTAACTATTTATCTCGTAAATTTCTGCCAGAATCAATCAGTTGGGAATTGGATCCATAAAACAATTTTTTATTTATTAATATATCAAATAGGTAAATTTTTAACTAATCTTTTATGCCACATCAAAATAATTATTCCTTGTCTATTAATTTGTCATCCAAGCATTTATAATTCCTTTAATATCACCTAATTTAGTGCTTCTATATTTACTAATATATCATGTATGTTCATATTCATCTTGGGTTGGTTGATCATGCAAATTATTATGTTTAAATCAAGTTTGATCACACAATATTTTATATCTAGCTTAACTCATCAAGTCTAGGAATCACTTAAGGCAACGAGTTATAACTACCTTAGTTGTGCAAGATTAAGGCTAAACAATTCATCTAGATCATTAAGTCTTACATAAATCTCAGATCTATAATTCATTGCATTTATTAAGAGGCTCTAAAAGTTGAGTTTTGGTAAGGTGACTCATCCTCGATGTTTCATCTATTTTATCTAGCATAATGTGTTATGTTATAAAGTCAAACAATGCCAACAATGTGGCTGATTTGAATTCATCATTTTACATAGTATAAATATTATTGACATTGTGAAGTGTTGATTGGTTGCCACTATGTTTAAGGAGGCACCACTTTGGTGATTCTCGCGTCTCCCATTGGGCAGTATTACCTCATTTGTCTAGTTCAAGCATTAATTTATTACTTCTATGTTAGTGTATAAAAATGCAAAAAAATGCTTCAAAATCTTTTGAATACGACATAAGAGCCTAAGAAGTCACTCCACTAGATTGTGACTTGATTACAATAAAATCTGGTGGATATTAAATATTTGGAACTTGTTGTTGTTCATGTTGTTCTTATTCAAGACCTTCTAGAAAATTAAACTCCGACATGGAAAAACTTTGATTAAGTTGCTTAAGCATTCATCATTCTTTATTTTTTTATTTTTTCTATTTTTTTAAAAGTTTCATCATTCTTTATTTAGAAAGAGGATCTATTCAACACATTTCCACTTTTGAATGGTTAGTAAAAATTTATACTCATTATAACTAATTAATTTATAAAGTGGTCAAGGCATTTGTTGTTGTTATATCCTAAGTAGTGCACATCTTCATTTAAAAGGCATCATTTTGTATTATGATCTATTTATAATTATTTTGAGTGTAATTATCTTCACTTTCTTACAAAAAAACAAGGAATTTTGATAAATCAAGTGGTTCATCTCAAGTTATCTTTGGTGCATTATTATAAGATAAATGGACAAGTCACCTTTGAAAATAAGTTCATTTTGAACCTTCTAAAATAGAATCGTGAAGTTGCTAAAGAAAAGTAGGTCAAGATGTAATTATCTGTTTGATGGGCTTTCATAACCACATCATATTCATAATTTGATACTCCTTTCATATTCTCACATAAAGCTTAAGAAAATATTGACTATCAAGTAAAATATGCCTAGTCTAAAGGTCATTTTTGTTTCTAAACTTGAAAAATAGGAATTTGATTAATGAAAAAGATCTAACAATAATAGACTCTCCAATAAATGACGAGTGTAGGCCTCCAAGAAAAATATTAAAAAATAACTTATGATCTACTCCTAAAGCTTGACCACCCTTCAAAGAGAAGCTTTGGAAATACCCTTACGAATTTCTATCTCACTTTAGTGAATCTTAAAAGATGATAAGAGATCATAATAATATTTTAATTTCTAATAACTTTCTTATCAAAAAGTTTGTTAAATCATCATGGTTATGGATTGCTTTATTGGAGAGAGAGGAAAACTAAATAAAAAAAGCATAACCCTAATCATGGCCATGAAGACCTAGTTAAGAAGCTCATTAGAGGTCAATTCAATATCATAATTAGAGGTCAATTCAATATCATAATGGTCCAATTTAATATAATCATAAATATTAGAATACTCATTATAAGGATGCATAGAAAACAACTTAAACATTACTAAAAATGGATGCTAGTAATAACCTATTTCAAATGTGAATATTTCTCAAAGCTATATTGAGTAAATTGATTTTTGCCCATTGTAGAACTTTTAAAAAAAAAGCGAGACATCAAAGCTTGTCTCTTCTAATATTACATAAGATGGCAATAAGATAAGCTTAGACCAGTCCACCAATGTTACTTGTGAATTATGGGTTTGTCGGGTCATGAGAATGGTAACTTGAACTGATAATGTCATGGAGACCCTAATGGAAAAGTTTTTACATGTTAGTGAGAATATCCAACACAAGTGTTTCTAAATTGTTCAGGTCCTAACATGACATAGATTTTATGGCTTAAAATTTCACCTTATTATGATGATATTATTTGTTGGGTAGATGCTCGTATATGTTAAATGTTTTGACATATTTCTAGTTAGGCTTGGGTGGCCTTCACAAATTGAATTATAATGTCACCATTAGTGAAAGATTGGTCATTAGCTATTAAAAAAGTGTTTGTAGGATGTTTGGAAGGATTTTCCACGTGTAATGCTAAAATTGGTGTGTACTAGATATTCATTATGATAGAGCGAGAAACAAAATTTAACTTCGTATCTATATCTAGCATACACCATTGAAAAAAGAGTTTCATAGGAGACACTAATGCTTTTATATTGAAAACTTGAAAAGAGAAGTGGGCCTAGCTTAATTAAAATAATTCGTTAGGTAGTGAACTTACAAAAATAGAAACCTCACCATAGTTGGAAAAGATGGGATTATAAAGTAGAAAACGCTTTTTTATTTTCCTAAGATTACAACAGAACTCATGGAAAATAAATAATGAGTGAGTATAGTGATTGAATGATAATATTCATTTAATTATGATTAAGCCATCGCAGTTACATAGTGATAGTCTCAGAATAATGGTCCAATGATGTCAACTAAACGACAATGATTAGGCAATGGCGGTTAGATCAGAATAATGGTCCAATGATGTCAACTAAACGACAACGATTAGGCAATGGAGGTTAGTTAGATGATGATGATGATGATGATTGAGCAAGAATGGTCAAAAATGGTGGTTACACTACTACATTAAAGAGGTGATATTCAAACAAATTCTAATCAAGCTAGGCTCTAGAGTTTATCTTATTTTTAAGCTCAACATAATTTCAAATCTAGCCCTCTTGAATATGGATAAATATATTAACATTAATATTACATCAAAATTAGTACTTGATTAAATATAATATCTTTCGTATGAAATATTAACCATGACAATCATTAAACCAGTCAGATAACTGGACCTGCTGGCTGCCAACTCTGCCCAGACACGTACTTCAAAAATGCCAACAGGCAGCAATACTGCTCAAGTCAACCGAGTCGTACTTTTTTCTTATTTTGTTTATTATTTTCCTACAATTATTTTTATCGGTCCAAGTTTCTTAAACCATATACATCGCTGTCCGCATTAAATGCGAATTTTCGTCGGTTTTGTTCCTCCAGACCCTATCTGATGTTTTTAATTGATTTAACACAAACCACCACACATTTTTTTATATATTTACACATCGAGCCCCTAAATTTTAATCTTTAAATATGCCACATTATCTAAATGATAAAAAAAA